AATTTAGCGAGGAAACTGAATTGGGGCATATAGGTGAAGTGACGCCGATTTTTCCGCTAAATCTGCTGGGGAAACTGAATTGGTGCATTGGTCATGTCATGTAAATTTTTTCCGCTAAATTTAGCTGGGAAACTGAATTGGTGCATAGGTCACGTGACGTCAATTTTCCGCTAAATTTAGCGAGAAAACTGAATTGGGGCATAGGTCACGTGACGCCATTTTTTCGGTCAATTTGGTGTGGAAACTTTGGTGCTTAGGTCATGTTATGTAAAATGTTTGCGCTAAATTTAGCGGGGAAACTGAATTAGTAAATGGGTAAAGTGACGCCGATTTCTCCGTTAAATTTGGTGTGGAAACTGAATTGGTGCATATGTCATGTAATGGAAATTTTGCCTCTAATTTTAGCGGGGAAACTGAATTGGTACGTAGGTTACGTGAAGTCAAATTTTCCGCTAAATTTAGCGGGGAAACTGAATTAGTGCATAGGTCGAGTGCCGCCGATTTTTCTGCTAAATTTGGTGTGAAAATTGAATTGGTGCATAGGTCAGGTGATGTACATTTTGCCGCTAAATTTAACGAGGAAACTGAATTGGTGCATAGGTCACGTGACGTCAATTTTTCCGCTGAATTCAGCGAGGAAACTGAATTGGGGCATATAGGTGAAGTGACGCCGATTTTTCCGCTAAATCTGCTGTGGAAACTGAATTGGTGCATGGGTCATGTCATGTAAATTTTTCCGCTAAATTTAGCGGGGAAACTGAATTGGTGCATAGGTCACGTGACGTCAATTTTTCCGCTAAATTTAGCGGGGAAACTGAGTTGGTGCATAGGTCTGGTGACGTAAATTTTTCCGCCATGTTTAGCGGGAAAAGTTTTTTTTACGCTCACGTCAAAAAAAAACGTGGAACGGGCTACTAGTAGCTGACGTTGTAGATACAATTTAGCCCTCCATTTGCCTTCATATACAACAATGACGACCGCTAGAAGTGCCTAGGTCACGTGATATGAATTGTTTCGCTAAATTTGGCGAGGGAAATTAACTGGTGCGTAGGTAGTGTGACGACAATTTTTCGCTAGATTTAGCGGGGAAACTAAATTAGTGCATTAATCACATGACGTAAATTTTTTCACTAAATCTGGCGGGAAAACTGAATTACTGCGTAGGTCACGTGACGCCAATCTTCGCTCTTAATTTAGCGGGAAAACTGAATTGGTGCATAGATCTCTTGACGTTAATTTTTTCCCTAAATTTAGCGGGGAAACTAAAGTGGTTCATAGGTCACTTGACGTCAATTTTCCGTTAAATTTAGCGGGGAAACGTTTCGTTAACGCTCACGTCATTAAAAAAACCGGGAATGGGCCGCCACTAACAGCTGACACTGTAAAAAACAAATGTTCAGCTGTTAAGTCAACATGGTTTATACCCGTTGACTTAACAGCATGGCAAATGCCATTCAGGGCGAATCTCGTTCGGGCGCCGAATGACATTACATTTCAAGCCCGTGCTACACGTACATTTCAAATGTCATTTTGCGCCATGATGATGATAGCGCCTTCTCTCTGAAGAAAAGTAATTGTAAAGTTTTGTGTAAGCTAAATACGTTTGTTCAAGGTTATAATCTCTGAAAAGTGTCTTTAGGTAGTTTTAATCGCGTTTTTGCAGTCAATTACTTTATGTTTTTTTCTCCGTTTCTGCTGTAATTCATTTGTTGGTGACGCTCTTCTTGCTCTAGCCGCAATAAGCCAAAGCCAAAGACAGAACCTGACCAAAGCGAAAGGAAAGAACATCGCCACTCTGGAAGGCTGGACTGATCCCCCTGAAATGAGAACCAACAACATAAGATCCTGCGAAGTCTCCTGGACTTCCTCCATGAGGCAATGCTGGAATCTTCTATTTAGTGTACATATGTTTCAAATAGTATGCCGCATACAGGCTTCGACTATTAGCCACCGGTGCATTCTTACACCCCTTTCCCTGCTTATGGCATCAATAAACGCTCTTTGAACTGAATCAATCTGAAAGGAAATGGCGCCTGTACAGTCGCGAGTGTCGGTCCTTGCACCGGAGGACGGTAAACGGGTGCGACGGTTAATGAGCGCCCTTATTTATTTACGCGCCAAGCTCCGTGCCGAACTGCAAAGGCTCGAAGCCAAAGATGAGGACGCTCACTATCGCGTTCGTGAAATCGAAGAGCAGCTGCTCTCGAACTCCGTGGCTCTGGCTGCTGCTTTCGCTGCGCACTTCCCAGTGCACCGATCGCGTTGGCGGTACCCCAGAAACCAGAGGTGGTTTCTTGCGGCGCATGCGGCTCCATTGGAAGAAACTTCGAAGTTCGAACAAAACGTAACACCGAGGAGAAATGCGAAAAAGATAGCGGCGCAGGCGAAGTGGCTGTGTCTAGTGGGTTAACGAGTAGCCGTTTGCAATTCTGTGACAAGCCGCGCTTCAAATCTAGTATAAAGTAATGCAGATATAAAATAGACACAAATAAATAACTTTTAGTTCGCGTATGCTTTGATGAACGCAATCACATTGGTGTTTCTTTACTTGGGGCCTGGAGTAGACGCTACACATTTGGCCCGTGACAGAATGCGAATGAGTACCGCCGAACCCTTTCGGTGGCAAATGACATTTGCAGCGAATGCCATTCGTGCAGGCCGTGTAGCACCAGTCGAATGACATTTAGGGCGAATGTCATTCGTTGTAAATGGCATTCGAGTTGCCCGTGTGGTACGGGTATTAAATTGCCAGAATAGGGTGACTTTGTGACCAACTGTACATAAGAAAGTTAGCCAGTGCAGTGCAGTGCCGCACCATTCGTAACAAAGTAATTGGACCAGTTGTTTTTACAGCGCTAGGTTAATTTTCAAAAACAAGGCGACATTTTTACCCTCTGAAGATGAGAATTTTACCCAGTGCAGTACGACTGCTATTATAGGGTCTTTAACGTGCATCACACAGAAGTGAAACACGACCGTACGACGGTACAAAACTCATCTAGATCGGAACGGGCAGGGGCGACGATTGAATCACCGATCCCTGGGTAGGGTGTACGAAAACTAGGAGTTGTGCTGAAACGGGCAGGTCTGATCAATGAAGCGAAAAAGCACAATGCTTTCAGAAAACAACGCAAGATAAAGTTTACACAAACGTCAAAAGCTCACCCTAAACGTAGGCCGTGCACCGTGCAGTCATGACTCAGAATCGATGTATAATGTGATATCAACAGGACGGCACTCCCCACTCAAAACACTGAATTACCTCGTCTCTTACATCAAACATTCTGTATAGACCCATGCTTGTCTGTTGTGCACATGCGAGAAAAATTATTCATTTCATTTCACGATCTTTCTAATTTCACAGCAAGTCGGCAAAGACTAGTGGCTGATGGTCTTGGGTTTTCTACGCTAACTTATTGCTTCCCATGCAATATGAAAGGATCCACCTCTTCTAGGCCCTTCTAGGTACTTGTGGGCTTCAAAAGATTAGTAGATCGCATAAAGACAACATTTTAAAGATACTATTTTCCTTGAGGACAAAATTTTATATCGGCCGGGGCTTCAATTAAGGAGACAGCAGCTTTTATGTTTCTCATGAGAACATGATATTCGAAGTATATTTTAAAGACAGCTATACGAGGGTTTTCGTTGATTTTCTTTTCTTACTTAGCAGATAATTGAGGGATGCTTAGACTCGGGCGTTGTGGGACGGCGCAAGCCACTGAGAACAGGAAGCGCTCACTGCTCCGGTTATCGGTAAATTGTAAAGCAGTGATCCGCGAAAATAAGAGAAAATGAAAGCTCGGGGTAGTAAAGCAAGATTAAAAGGAAAATTACTGATGACTCGGACTCCAAGTGTACTTCTGTGCGACCAGAGAACCACAGGGCTGGTCAATTGATCCCTTAACCTTTCGTCTAATGTGTTAGTACATTAATCGAATTCAATTTACATTGTCGGCTGAGTTTTCAGTTGGAAATTTCTGGGAAAAGTGAAAACGCCTATTTCTTCTATTTGGTGCAGATTTTGAGTTTTTTCAGGAGGCGGAAGTGTTGTATTGCACGGTAAAACACAGATTATAATTGGAATCAATAGTTATTTTAAATCTTAAAAAATATAAGAATATTTTTAATAAGGTTGCTTGCTTTTCTTTTCATAGGCTGTGCAGAGTCAATTTTCAAATGAGGCTGCGCATTCTACCATTATTAAAATAACAAAAAATATTTCGTTTTTACATTTTGCAAGATATTATCTCATATGTCAGTGCAACCGATTAATCAATTAATGGGTTACGATTAATTGGGTTAAAATTTTAATCGTTAACCAGCCCTAATGAATATTAGCATTAATCTCGCTTGATACAAGAAAGTGGTCTGTTGGCGCGCACCCACGTCTACCTGTAATTATTTGAAGGATCGAGTTCCAGTGCCTCCTAGTGAGAGGCGCACGAACTACAGCGGTAAGAGGCTGTCCCATGGAGAAAGCTCAAAAGGCTGTGTCGTAAGTATAGACCTTTTTCACAAGGGCGGCGCCACCTTGAATTATCGTCACTTCCAGTATAGGCGAAGACATTGTTTTGCAGTCGCCACTCGAATAGAATACATTTACGATATAAGCGTAACCCTCACCTATTCTCGCTTTGTCTCCCCTCTATATTTTACTATTTGCAGGTTGAAACGTCTTATTATTTTTTTCGCGCACACACCGGATATGCCTACGGCTGGGAACGAGAGTAAGCGAAAATAGTCTATAGAGAAGGTCGTGGTACTACGGACGTGTGACACGAGTTTTGTTACTTTACTTTTTACATAGTTTTTACTTGCTTCTTGAAAATACCGCCTGCAGTAATGCCGGCGATAATCGTGGGGAGATGGTCTCTCGTATCCGTGTAACGAAGGACATGGAGACAGTGGGCATCAGATATGCTTGCCCAACAGCTTCCCCCTTCTTATCAGTCTTTATCGCTTTACTACGGCCAGGCGCTGCTTATCCTTCCAGCCCTGGCAGTTTCGTTCTGCTAGCGCCTCGTGTGATCGCCGGCACAGAACGGGTGAGCATACAAGTTTCGCTTGTTTTTCTCCCGAAATACGATTCGCTTTCGCAATATCCGGGATGACTGGATGTTTATTGCAACTGTTCACGAAAATCAATCTAGAAGGATAAAGCGAGAGTCATAAAACCTCGTCAAAAACACGCGCATTTTTTTCAAGATACATACAAGGTATATACCGTGTTCCAAAACGGAAATCGTCTTCAATGTTCGCAAAACTATACGGGCGCGAGAGTGTGACTCTCCCGAAAGCATAAAGGTGCACAAGCCCTCGCTCATAAAAAAGCGATTTCGAATGACGCTCTCGCGCATCTGAACTTTCCTTCAATAAAGCCAAACTCATGTGACGTATACATAGAGTATAACATTCCGTTATTCCGTTGATGTAAGCGGAGGGCTTCTTGCGCGGTTTAAGAATAGCGGGGGGGACTAGTTTATGCGTAGAGTTCAGCTCATATATATAAAATATTTAGCGGTGTACATAGATCTATCTATCTATCTATCTCTCTCTTTATATATATATATATATATATATATATATATATATATATAGGGTGGTTTAAGTCACCAGGCTCGATCTAAAATGAACCGTGAAAATCGACGCCTGCACGTAGCAATCTAAACTTTTCGTCAGAGGTGTATTTAACAAGCTTGTACTATTTGAGCGTGTTGGTGCGTTTTTAACATTTAGAAAGTGGAGACACATAAGGGACGATACAGAGAGGACAAACTTTCAACTTCAACTTTGCGCTTGAAGGCGAAAATTAAATGTTGTTGAAGTTGAAAGTTTGTCCTCTGTGTATCGTCCCTTATGTGTCTCCACTTTCTAAATGTATTTAACAACCTTGTTTTTTCTTGTAAAATTACAAAACATAGCTTCCTTTTAGTAAAAAATAGGGTGAAGAAACTTGCCAGGGTCTACGGCGGGCGGCGACGCAGACGACCAAGTCCAGTAGAGGGGTATAATTTTGTAATTTGTAATTTTGTAATTTTACCAGAACTATTTAACAGAATTTCTTTTTAACAGAAATTTTACCACTTTGTAATTTTACCAGTAAAAACCGACCAGTGAAATACGATTCTGAAGAAGAGTTAGATTGCTACTCGCAGGCGTCGATTTTTGCGGTCCATTTCATATCAATCCTGGTGAGTTGAACCACCCTATTAATATATACCTAATTAATGAACCTGGAAATCAAAAGTTGTTGTTCCAGAAAACCTAACGCAACACATCATATTGAAAGTACGAATAGGGAGGAGCGAGTTGGTTTAATTGAATTCAGTACGCTTCACACTAGCGCAGCTCACGCTAAGATCCTATACAGGCAATCAAGAAGAGCCAAACTTGCATTGCCACGGCGCATCGTCGTCCTTGTGCGTTTGATTTCATTGGGTAAACCAATCACGCACAAAAAAAAAGCTCGGGGATCACGGTTGATTGCGTTTAAGTGATTGGTTCAACCGGTGATAGCGAGCACACGAAGATGACATCACATTTCGCACTGCTCATTGATTGGCTATATCGGAGTGTAGCGTCACGCCCCGTGTCTGCCCACACGAGGCGGGGGGCACTACGCGTGCGCACGAAACGCGATTCGGGTGAGATGAAGTGTCTGCGAATGCGCTGTACCTACAGCAGCGCCACCGCAGTCGCGTGACGTCAGAGACGGGAGATCATGCCGAAGTTACGAGCCGATAGGGGTTATTCTATGAGCGCGAAACATGCAATGGCACGGCATTTGCCATTTGTTGCGCATAGGTTATAATCGTCTGAACCAGTCGACTGCAGCGAACGTACCCCGACCGTGCGCTTTTAATCTGCGTGTTTCCGCGTCTCTCCGAGTGCGCTCATATTTCTGGTGGCGCAAAGCGTACGGCTGGTGATAATAAATGAAGATATGGGAAGAGGAGACAGGTTAAACTTGAGGAAGAAAACGAGAAGGGAGGGAGAAACACGAACTTCCAACTGGCAACAACATTTAATGACACCAAGGGTTTGCTTATATACAGAAAAAGGGGGGCGGGGGGGGGTGAAAAATGGGATGGAAAGGAGGAGCACTATGCCGTCAAGGGTACGTTGTTGCTGTCGGGATCGTGGGGGGAGAAAGTTCCGAACTAAGAAACCTTATTTCTTTCCACGAAAAGGCAATGGAAGGGGAACCGATGTTGCCCTTGGATTGACACATGGCGAATGCTTCTAGAATCTCCCGACCATAGCTCGAGGGGTGTCCCCCGATTCTTGTAGTAGAGGGAAGGACGGCCGAGCGGGAGTACATTGCGATGGGTGTTTGGCGATCGGGTGGTGAAGAACCTCTGAACCGTTGGGGACCGCTTTTTTAACCTCGTCGCGTGCTCTCTCAGGCGGTCGTTTAAGGGTTCTTTCTTCTTCTTCCCGAAATGTCTTTTTTTTTTTTTTTTAGTTGAAGGTTTTTAGTGTTTTTGACCTCGAAATTGGCATCTCTGTTAGAGTCTGATGGCACAAAAACCTTAATTTTTTTTCTTAAAGTTTTCTTTTAAAATGTGCAATAAGAAAAAAGTATTTCTTTTTTTTTTGTCGCCCGAGATTTTTTGTATTGGAAGAGATGCTTGACTTTGGTCTCAAAATGTATCTGTGCGTGACAAACGCTAGATAGACGCGTTGTGGCATCATTAAGCCTATTACGCTATACTACTGTAAAATCATATATATTTTTTCGCTATCCGGATGGTGGAACTTGCAATGCTACTGGATCCAATCCGGACTTTAAGTTTTCAGAAATATTTTTTTTCCGCCATCTGGATTTTAGGTTTCTAGAAACAATTACGATTAGATTTACAGTGCATAATGCAGATAGCGAACATTTATATTGGGTTCTGGGGTAAAGTCGTCACTTCGTAAAGCAAGCAAACAATGATATAAATATTCTAAAGCAAGCAGCTACCATGACTCGACTTGTCTTGAGTGATGCTATGCGGAGAAATGATATCGTACCTCTAGGAACTGCTTTTGTGGATTTAGCAGCTGCACCGAACGATTATTCCTTGTACTAATGTTTTTGTTTTCTGTTTTTTTTTACTACGTGACACAGTTCAATGACGTCGAAACACTGTTTATGATTTATAAGACTTTTGATGAAGGGATAGTTTAATAGGAACCTTTATAAATCTTGAAGTGGTCACCGGTCACATGGTAACCTTTTCATATGTAGGATACACACGGCGGTAGAATATATCCGTTAGGGACGCATTGTACAGCCCCGGCTGTGGCGGTTCTATTTTGGCTTTAATCGACCATTTTCGCGCCGAAACATACACGGTAGAGGGGGGTAGATGGTAGATGGGGTTTAGTTGCGTGCCTGCAAACAGCCAAGTGGCCTGAGCAGCAGTGCACTGTCCTGTACACAGCTACATAAAAGTATGAGATAAAAACACAATCAGGCGAAAATGTCTGTTTCACCGAAAAAGGCATCGTAAGTTTGTTGCAGACGTGTCATTGGGCAAGTGGCCCGCACATCAAGATAAAACGTGTCTATGCATTTTGATGTCCTCCCTGACGGTACCCGGAACCTCAGCAACATCACTAGCTGGGCACAATCAAGAGAACCATGCATAATTTGACGCAGGAAATGCATGTCTCTTGCAATTCGTCTATCATGCAGAGGTACTAGACCGAGGTCAGTGAGCAGGGAATGGTAATTGTAGAAACGGCGGCGGCCGATATATCGGTCGTATAAGATTCTCATCATCTTACGCTGAACGTTTTCAATAAGATTACTATGAACATCGTTACAGAGTTCCAAACCACAGACGCGAACTCGAGGCGTGATCTACCCAATGCACAATAAAGACGTAAAAGACACTCAGAGCGACGAAATTTTTTTGTCAGCTGCGAAATTACATCCAGTTGGCGAAGTCCTTGACCAAGAATGCGAGAGACGTGGAGGCGAAAATCTAATCTCGAGTCCACAAAGACACCAAGATCCCGTACATAGACAACCCGCAGCACTTGCTCTTCAAATATAGTGTAGTCGCAGACTGTGCTCCCCTTCTTCCTGGTAAGGGTCATTACTACAGTCTTTTTTGGATTCAGTTGAAGCCTATTTTTTGAGCACCAGTATTCAACGGAGCGGATTTCATTTTGTATCTGAATACTGTCATTTACATTGTGAACAACACGGAAAAGATTAAAGTCATCGGCGAACATTAGCACTTTCGAGTTTTTGATGGAATGTGGTAGATCGTTAACAAATATCAAAAACAGGAGTGGTCCAAGGTTAGAACCTTGAGGTACGCCAGATAAAGATGCAAATGTCTCCGACACGCCATTAAAAAATCTAACATAATTTTAGCGATTTGAAAGGTAACTTACAAACCATGCGCAATACAAATTGCATAGTCCGTATTCTTTTAATTTCAACAAGAGTATCTGGTGGTCAACCTTATCAAAGGCCTTGGCCATGTCAAAGTAGACTGTGTCCACCTGACCACGGTTGCATACTAAAGGACCACTATGACCGGGAAAAGTAGCTAAGTTCGTCTCCACTAATCTGCCCCTGAGGAATCCGTGTTGCAAAGGTAAAATTTTTTGTTTCAAATATGAGTACAAGCGTTCATACACCATCTCAAAAACCTTTGAGAAGTCACAAAGAAGAGACACAGGGCGGAAATTATTGACATTACAGGGATTTCCTGACTTGAAGACTGGTATTACGACTGAAACTTTCCACCAAGAAGGATGAACTCCATACTGTAAGGTCCGATTAAATATATCTGTCAGGATAGGTATAAATATTTCAGCACAAAATTTGATAATAAAATTAGAAATATCATCACAGTCATTTGAAAGTTTTGATTTGAGCTTCCGTATCGAGCACATCGCCTCATCATCGGTTACACTGTGTTATACTAAGGAGTCAGTAAAACCCTCAAACTAAAAATCATTAGACACACCGTCACGTTCCGACAAGCAAGAACTAAAGTGATTAGCAAATGCTTGGCTCACTTCTTGTGGCTTGCATAAA